TTCTTTGTCCTTCCTTATTCATTGTCCAGCTTTCTCATGCATATGAGGCAATTGAAAATAGCATGGCTTTGGTCAGGTGCAACATGTCCTCAAAGTGACATGTTTGTTTTTTAACACTTTAAAAAGATCTTTTGTCTGCTTTATATAAAATACATTTGTTTCTATGTGACATACTGTACATTTACCATCTATCTCCCCCAGCTAGAATATAGGGTCTTTGAGAGGATGGACATTGTTTTGTTTTTTGCTAAAATTCTATACCCTGGGCTAATGCCTAAACCAAAACCAAACGCACTGCCATCGAGAACTGCCCCATAGAGTTTCCAAGGCCATACATCTTTATGGAAGCAGATTGTCTTATCATTTTCCCACAGAGTGATTAGTGGGTTTGAACCACTGACCTTTTGGTTAGCAGTCCAATGCTTTAACCACAGTGCCACCAGGACTCGTGTCTACCAAATAATAAATTTAAAAAAAAATAGTTGCTGTTAAATTGATGCAAGACTGGAAGCACTCACTCATCTATGCCAAGAAATTTGTGAGATAGCTGCTTGGCCAATCAATTAGAAAAGATCCATATTTATGCCTAATCCAAAGAAAGATGATCCAAGAGAATGTGGAAATCATCAAACATCATTAATATCACATGCAAATAAAGTTTTGCTGAGATAATTCAAAAACAGTTGCAGTAGCACATCGACAGGGAACTGCCAGAAATTCAAGATGAATTCAAGAGACTGTGGAATGAGGATATCATTACTTATATCAGATGGATTTTGGCTAAAAGTAGAGAATTACAGAAAGATGTTTACTTGTGTTTTGTTGACTATGCAAAGGCATATAAATGTGCAGATCATAATGAATTATGAATAACATTGCAAAGAATGGGAATTCTGAATACTTAATGTGCTCATGCATAACTGTACATCAAAAAAGAAGTCACTGTTCAAACAGAATAAGGGGAAAGTGCATGGTTAAAAATCAGATGAGTTGTATCTTTTCACTCCCTATATCCCTTAAATGAACCTTACATTGTGCCAGGCAATACTTTGAGATTTTTTTACTTCATCATCTTATTTAATTCATGCAATGGTTCCATGAATATGTAATAGCATTATAATTTAGTATTCCCATTTTACAGAAGAAAAAACTAAGGTACAGAGAATTTAAATAAATTGCCCAAGGTCATACATCTAGCAAATGGAAACCTGGAATAACAGCCTGGAAAGCCTAGTTCTCTGACTGTGGTTAATTGCCTTCTGGAGAACTTGTGACACACAGGAATGACTCAAAAAAGGAAGAAGGCAGAAAATAGGTCTTTACTTCAAGTAAGACACTGTTTAACCTCCTCCCACATTTTTCTTCACAGAATTTTGCATTTCTCAGGATAGCTCCTTAACCATTTTTCCCAAACACCCTTCATTGACTGTCCTAGGAACTAATTAGCTAGTGAAATCCAAGGGTCTGGAGCCACAAGACTCCTCTAGATGCTTCCAGGATAATCCCTGCATGATATTATCAGAGCACATACCAAGCTTTACTGTAATTGCCTGTTTGTTCATCGGTCACCCCAAGTATACTTTTGACAGAAGCTACCATAAAGCTTATTCCTCACTGTATTCCAAGTCATTAAAATATTTCATGACATATTATGGAATCCTAAAAAGTATTTTTGAATTAACAAGTAAATAAATGAATTTGAATCTAGTAAACATTTGTCACTGGTTTTTGTTCATCTTAACAGGACCAACAGGGCTACCTCACTTTTCCCTCTTTAAGAGTATATTTTCATACTTATTAACAATACACTATTTCTCCCTGATGGTTTTTGTCCACCCAACATCTTAACTTATTTGGGTGTTTACAATATTCTCCATTTTCAGAGCTTGGTGGGAGGCAAAATCCATCCACCCCTATAAAGGAGCTGAATATGCAACATTCTTGCTTTTCCTAGACTCCCTTTTACCTAGCCTTGGTGAGCTAGGATCTGCCAATCAGACACACACGTGCTGGACTTTGATTCAGGAGCTAATGAAACAAAAGGACAGGCTCCGGGTGGGAAAGATAGAGAAAAAGGTTTCTCCTGTTCTCTGGTAGTGGCAGTAGCACTATCTACAGGGTGTATTTTTCAGGAACAGAAATGATCCGCTGCTCGTGGAAGTAGTTGCAGTAAAGTCCAGCCCCAGTGCTCTTAGTGCAAGTGGCCACAGCAAGCTGTCCCCATCAGACTAGTTCTGTGGTGTAATTAGACATTGTTCCTGGAAGCTGAGCCTCAAGCCATGTTCTCCAACCTCTCAATGATCCTGTGAGCTGCCCAATATTGTCTTAATAAACACTTTTCTTGTTTAATAAGCCAGGGGCAGTTTCTGTTTCTTTGCAAGTAAGAACCCTAAACCATCCTTAAGAAAGCTGCTGCTGCTGCTGCTTCCAAGGAGTGAAATTCTCTTCCAGTTACAAAATTATAATTAAAACTCATTTTAAAAATAAGATTTTTTTTTTAAATATTTAGAATTGATTAAAACCTAAAGGATCCTAAGAGATTATCTAACACAATACCCCAATATGACAGTTGGGAGAATAAAGTTCCAGACCTTCTGGGATCTTAAAACCTTGCAAGCAGCCATCTAGATGCAACCATGGGTCTATCCTCATCCAGAGCAAAGAATAATGAAGAAAACCAAAGATTCATGGAAACAATTAGTCCTCATAACCGGTACACCATGCGATCCTCAGCCTATATGACTATGAGACCAGAAGAACTGGATGGTGCCTGGCTACCACTGTCAACCACTCAGAGGGGGATCTATGGAGGAGATCCTGGATAGAGAGGGAGAACAATGTGGAACAAAACTCAAAATCATTTGGGAAAAAAAAAAAAAGGGGGACCAGGTTTGCTAGGAG